GACTACTGCAGTGTCATATAAAACTCGATGTGTCCTGTATGCTAATATATGTCCATTCATTTGTGTATGTCTTTGTTTACCTGCTGCACGCTTTTTTGTGTATTTAGATCGACCACTGTGCATTTGTGTTGTTATGATTGTGTATGCACTGCTAAAGTCAGTTTTTCCAACAGAAGCAGTACCATGCTTACTAACATACCACCCCACCCCCCCATGAGTGCCTTGCACCTTTCCAGATTTAGGCTTTCACTTCACGTCTGCACCACACGCAGTGTTCCTGTCCCTGTTCCTGTGGGTTTGTGTGGTATATTTGTCTAAAGGCTAGACAGCACGCCCAGCCACACCCTGTCAACACTAATTTACATATGAGAGGAATAAACAGAGATGTACTTCACTCTAATGTGAAAGAGAAGAATCAAGAAACAGCTTCCCTACATCCACTGTCAAGTCTTCAGAACTGCCCATCCAGTGAAAGCCATTGGCACCATAATTCCAGATGGAATTAAAGTCTGTTGTCATACTAGCCTAAGGATTGCCATTCATGTCAGATTACACCTTCAGTGTGCACATATTCTTTTTAAAAACATTCATTAAGGCTTTACCTGGTTCACCTAATCATAATTTATTTGCAAAATTATGGTAAATATACCATAAGTAATATACATATTTCAGATTTCTAGTATGGTCTGTTAATATGACTAACTATATAGTAAGCTATGTTATGTGTCAGATAATAACTTTAAAAAAGCTCACAGGACTTGTAACCTTAAAAAGAAAGAAAATAGATTTTAGGCTCGTGTCTTAAACAGATCTCCTGTCTCCACTGACAGTAATGCATGTTTTGGCTCAGGTGATGATAGTAGTGGGATGCATTGAATGCACAACAGTCATCTTTCTGCCTTGTAAACTGTGTGACCATCACGTTCATTTCAGTGTTTATAAAATGAAAGTTATTATCGATCTGTCTTGGTTTTTTCAATATTTGGCCCAATGACTCAGTTTTCCTGCAGGCAGAAAGCCAGTGCAAAGATAAACATAGTTTCCTTGCACAGGTTGTCATTTCATAGGAGCAAATAGGATACCTTGGAAACAGTAGGTGAAGAGATGATTTTTTAATATAAACCACATAAGCATAACCTGGTGGCCTGGCAGTGTTGCTAATGACTAGTGCTGGATCTTTTTAATGCAACTGATCAACAACGGTAGTCTTCACATAAAATCTAAATCTTTATTGCAATTATACTAAAAATGCAATGAAATTATATATCGTCCCATTCGGTGCAAAGAAAGCAACCTAACTATCTTAAACTTTCATTCTATGAACAAAAAATTAAAAAGAAGACAATTTCTAATAAGTAAATATAGTATAAAAATATAAATAAATATATATGTAAATATATGCTGATGTTTGTGCATTTGTGCTTGAGTCATTATTGATTGCACAGGTTAGTAAGGCGGGCATACCCTTCAGTTTTCATTTATTGTTTATTACTTATTATTGCAACAGCCCTGTGATTTATGCTGTTTTCCAGTCTTTGTTTTAGCATTCTGAAGAATGCTAATAACACTAATGCTCATATTTCAACTACTGTCTGTAATTTGAGGGAGGCACATGTTTTTTGCAAGGCTGACACAGTAGCAGCTTCAATTATTATCTAATTTTTTTTTTTTTAATAGGATGACAGAATTTGGTGTGAGGAAAGACAGGAGGGTAATGACTCACAACAATTTTCAGGCCAGCCACAAAGCTCATCAATGAAAGCTCAGAAAGAGTCCTGATCACCATCAAACAGCAGTAAATTGCATTTTTTTTTTATGTTAAGACGCTACTTACTGTAAAGTTCCTACCTTGCCACCTTCAACACTAAATAAATCAAAAGATTTGTAGATGTTTAACAATGTGAACCCTGCTTGTGGCCATGAAAAACATCAGCAAACACTACGCTGCAGCACATGAGTCAGTTTTGTTCCCTGACTGATACATTTCATTGCAGTTTGGCAGTGCTGATTGCTGAATCAATGCAAGCACAAATAATGTCTGGGGGAAATGCTGTTATCCTTCATATTTATGTGCACCACAGACATATTAATGCTTGATGTTACTCATTCATAATACTCTTCTAACTTTCCTGTGCACTAACAGCATCCCAGTCGGCACACCCTGTATATCTTTCCTGAAGAGGTCGAAATAGTTTTTCTACTTGAAAAGAAGTCCTGCACAACGTGCCTGCAGGGGCATTTAAAAGATAATTGCTTCAAAATTTCACTTACACCATGCAAAAATAAGCCTTTGGTAAAAGTTACTAAGGTTCTGATATCTGGGATTAGTAGCAGTGCAAGTCATGATAAAAGGGGTGTGTTATTTTTTTATTCATTTTTTTTAGCTAACTTTATAAAAACGCTTGGTTGGCTAGTAGTAGTTTACTGTTTTTATGAGGACCCAAACAGTAAACGGTGAAAAATAAATACATTTAATGTTAATTTTACAGGATTTCTTCCCCTAAAAGGCCTCTTTCACTTTTTGTTTTTAGTTTGTGTAGCAGCTACCAAAACCTCAGTAAATGACTATAAATTCAGAAAAAGGTCAGCGTAACCCATGCAATAATTCATTTATTTAGTTTCGATATCATTCTTCTTATATATAGGGAGATTATTTTCCTTTGAATTGTATGGAGCTACCAAAAGGTCACAGTGGGATTTTTTTTTTTTTTGCATTACCTCTCAATAACATTTGCATTTCTTCTGACTCACAGAGAGAGACTGAGCTGTATGATTATACAGAAGCATGTATTATTTAGTAGGCCGCCACTGGTTGTGACAGCTGCAAGAATCAGTGCACCCTCGTCTGTGGCTGCCCTGTACCACCGCATCTAGAACGAAAACACGATCTCTTACTGACTGCTGCTGAGAAAGTCTGTAGTTTCAGCTGTGACTGCAGAAGTGGAATGACACGGCTGTCGCAGTGATTGTATTTGTGTTCATTACTGTGCTATCGTTTTTATAATTATGGCTTAAATTCGTTTTTATTTAATAAGTGAAATAATATGCACCAAGGGCTGTGTGTTATGCTGAAGCTACTGTATACTTGAACTCTTGTGCTTCACTGCAAATATATAATACTATGTATATTATAACTTATTCTTTAAAAATAAGTAATGAATGCAAAATCATCAGGTGTCTCTCTGTGTCTCTCTTTTGATCGGCACACTAGCTACACATGTGGATTAAAAGGAACACAAAAATAACAAAAATGCTTCTGAAAGGGGCTGTGATCTTTCACAAGCTGAGCAGAATTGTATGCTTGCTGCTTTACAGGTATTTCATTTACAGTTTTTGACATTAATATAATATTTCAAATAACTTCCTGGCAGAGCCTGAAATAAACATTGGTGACATTTTGAAATCTGTATTAAATAAAGTTCTAGCATCATTAGTCATGATTTTGTTTATGCTAAAACCTTCTTGTTCCTCTGTGCTGTCATACTTGGTCATTAATATGAACAGGCATTATCAGGATTCACTGAGAATTCCCTATAACAGATAATTTCAGATTAACTTATGTGGTTCGTGGCTTTAGTCCACAGACTTATTTTCCTGTAAAGTTATTATTTTTGTTTTTAACATCCTTTGGTTCAGCAGTTTGCTTCTGGAAATGAATGACCTATAATAAAAAGTATCGTTGTAATTACCTTACTCCTGTGTTTGAGTGAAGACCTTCCTCTCTATTGTGTTTCATGTCCTAGGCTAGTCAAGAACCTTTTAACAGAGAAGACAGGGTTGGTCCCATCCAGTATACTGCAAACAGCATCAGAAGGAGGTCACTCAATTCAGTAACAACACTGCAGCTTCTGACTAACCACTGGCAGCTTTGCTGTAACACACTCACTCACCACCCCCTCCATACCACCCATTAATCCCACTTCATCTGCTCCTCTCCTCACTCTCCGATGTTAGTTGCACCAAATTAACTGGGTGGTCCACCTGCTGTTGGAGAGGAAGGAGAAAAGGGATGAAGTGGAGGGGGATGGAAGAGTTTTGGCTTGAATGCAAATGCCACTGACTGAAGCACATTCATCTCTCTCTCTCTGTGTCTCTGTCTCTCTGATAGATGTTAGATAAAACTTCACTTGTTTTTCTGAATTGTCAATTTTAGGTAACTGTTGTTTAGATTGAGACTTTGATACCATGAAATTAATAATTACCTGGGGCATGGCAGACTATTTCCAGGTGCTTTAACTTGTCAACTCTTTAGAGCAGTTAAATCAAGCTCTTCGTCATTTCTCCCACTTCGGGCAGGTGTGTAGAGTAGGTATACTTGACTAAGACCCCATAGAGGGAGGCTAGTTATGCTACTCCTGGGCAGATTCTGGGTGGAGCATAACTAAGTGAACATGAGCCATCCCAACTAGAATTAGCATGTTGCAGTTTTGCATAAAGTGGCTCCTGCTGCTAGTCATGCTCGCAGTATAGTTGTAATTTGAAGAATTAATCAGCTAGCTACTATAGCAGCTGGTTACAACTAGCACTGGTTCTGTCACAGATATCATCTATATTCACTCAGCACACATTATTTTCTTTCCTGTACATCTATTCTTGCTTCCATCCCATTTACATTTGACAAATAAACAGACATTTCTCACGGCATGCTCACGAGGTTTGTGGTGACACGCTTTGTTTGACTAAGATGTTTTTAATTTGTGAAAAGAAATTAAGCCAAAGGAGAAACTACTAGAAATCTTATCATTTATATTTGCTTAAAATGCATTCAAATAGTTTCCATATACTTGCCAACATATTTTTAAGCTGACTATTAGTAACATTTTCTGGGCATTAACTATCAGATACATCCATGTAAATCGTTAGCGTGCTGCAAGTAGCGTGAGGAGTTTTGTGATTAATATGATTAACACACCAGCTACACGTGATTAATATATTTAATGTTAATTTATATTTGGGGAAATGCTTATGAGCTCCTCATACTTTATAACCACATAGAAAGGACTCTATACACAGCTTTAATATATTTCTATCTTTAACTTTGAGCACATATTGTTAATCTTAATACTGGGTTGATGAGATCAGGCATTCATAGACAAAGTGTATGCTTTTCCCACAGGATAGACCCTTCTATTTTCCCCTCTCTCATTCTTTCCTCATCGCTGTCCTCTCTGTCCTTAATCCATCTCCCTACCATCTCGACGCTCCCATGCCGACTTGAAGGCTTGTCCTTGAAGTGTTTTTTTCTTCTTTTTTTTTGCTGTGGCCTTGCTTGTGTTGTTATGGGGTGTTCCCTCTTAAAAAGAACTACCTCTTCTGTCAGGTCACTTACCATCATCCTCTACTCCTTTTTATCATTTTCCTCTTTGTTTCTGTGTTTTTTCATACTTAAGGCAGACCCACCTCCATGCTCTAGCAGTTGACCTTCAGCATTTTAGTTAAGTGGAGCCCATTTACAAAAAGCTCTCTTCACCTGTCTGCACTGAGTGCCCTTATCTGCCTTCCCTATAATTTTCTATGCAACGAACTGGCTGATATTATTGCAGAGTCTGAATATTGCTCTATTATGTCTTCTTTTTTAATGCTTGATTTTTTGGGGGGGTTCTTTTTTTTATTGGAACTGCAGTCTGGGCTGTGCATCCTCATTCTTAAGTGCTGTTTGAATTTTGAATGCTACATTTTGTAACGGCATCAACATTGACTTGATGCTTTCTTGTCTTTGCAGATATCTTCAGTGATCTGTGTACAGCAGCTCTCTCCGACTCTGAAAATGAAGCCAGTACATGGGGAGATGTGTCTCAGGACAGCAAATAAACATGGATGACCACTATAGTTCATTATATTTAACTACAAATATGGCTGATGACTATAACTGTAGGTTTTTTTTAACTGTAATTTCCTAAGCTGGACAATTCTAGGTTTTCTACTTGTAGCTCTTATTAATGAATTTGCAAATATGGCCTGCTATTGTTTTTCAAATGTAGTTTTTTAGAAAAAAAAGCCTGCCTGAATGCCACAGCAGGAAAGCCATATAAGGTTTTTAATTCAAGGAAGTGCCAGCATCTCTCTGTGGGAAACTGAAGCTTTCATGGATGCTGAACTGAAAGTTAAATCATTACTTTCTGTGGAGAATGCTGGATGCCTGGAAATTTAAAACCTTTTCTGACCTGGATAACCTTAGGGAAAGTGACAATTTCCATGTGCTGGTTGTAAGCAGGCTTTGGGAAGACGGCCTGGTTTGCTGTTACCCTGCACTGAAGCAGAACTCTTTAAGATCAAATTCTTACTCTGATGCCCAAATGTTTCAGCATTTCATGTTCAGAATGTATATAATTAATTGCAAGTTGTTTTCTTTGGTTTTCTCTATCCTAGTGGAGCATGCACACGAATTATATCAAGTATAGAGTTGCTTCAGAGACTATTCTGACTACTCCTATGTTTTCACACTCGTACAGGTTCTCAACCACCATCATGTGTGTCCTTTGCATGTTTTCCCTGTGTTTGCGTGGGTTATCTCCGGATACTCCAGCTTCCTCCCACAGTCCAAAGACATGCAGTTAGTGAGGATAGGTTGATTGACAACTTAAATTGCCCCTAGGGGTGGTTGCAGATGTGAATGCAAATGGTTGTCTGTGTCTATGTTTTAGCCCTGCGACAGATTGGCCACCTGTCCAGGGTGTACCCTGCCTCCCGTCCTAAAACAGCTGGGATAGGCTCCAGCCCCCCTGCGACCTTGAAACGGATAAGCAGAAGAGAACGGATGGGTGGAAACTTAAAAATCTAATATTACAAAATCGTCTTTGTCACTTTTAAGTTTGCTTTGTTAAGTTTCCGCAACCATTAGACATTAAGTAAATTTTCCAGACACCAAGCTACTTCTGAGTGTGTGGGAAGGGTTCATAAACCATGTAGATTGTTGCTGATATGGTTCATCTTTTGGCGGATTCTCCCATCAGTGACTGTTTTCACTCGGTTATGTAGTTTGCCTGAAATTATAACTTTAGGAATTGCTGGATTCGTTTTTTTATTCTTTATTTCTTTGTTTTTCCATTTTACAATATTTAATGGCACTGAGGTCAGCTTAATTAATAAGGAAAAGTCTGATTTTTCCACCCCTGTGTATATAAACTCCTTGTGTATATTTAAACCTATTTAATAATAGGTCAGTGAATGGATCTGAATACTTTCTGAAGTAACTCTATTGTTTCAACTTCCCCACTGTCTGTTAGACTCACAAACAACGTGTGTAATTTGCCAAATGGCTGGAAATTACTCACCAAACAACCAGAGCTAGGGCTGAACACATCGGTTTGCTGAATGCAATAACATATGTATATAGCCTTTATTTTTATGTCATACGGGGACAGAAACTGGAAGAAAACTTGAAGTCGATTTGTCTTCTGGTAACAAGTAAAGAACTGTGCAGATTGTGTATCATTAACTGTCTAAAAACAGCTTTTTGCTCCATGCAAAAACAAAGTTGATGAGAGTGGTGAGATCTAAGTGCAAAGAGAAGGCTTTAGTACTAAAAGAACTCAGCAGAACTGCAGAGTTGGGTATTAATTATCTCTGGATGTCACTAGAAGCAAACCCATTTAATTTACACATATCTGTCTCATTGTTCATATAAAATGCATTCATTTGTTCAGTTTTAGTTCCAAAGTCTGCTGCTGTATCAGGGGTGCAAAATGTGGGGGGAAAAGTCATTCAAGAAGAATTTCCTTTATCAGTTAATGATAGCTAATTACTCTCTATCAGAAAATACATGAGAAGTAAAACAATCATGTTTTCCATTTTATGCTCTATATAGCTTCAATGAATAGCGCACAGAAGAAGTCAAAAGGCTTTTGATGGAGATGAAGCATTAATGTTTAAGGAAATGGAATTATCTCTATGATGTGTTGAGCTGCATGCCACCGAGATAAAGTAAGACTCATTTTTACATAATGAGATTTTCACTACCAATCTTGTTAAGAACATTTCACACTTTGATTCCCTGCATGCCAGCTGCTATTTAAAGACAGGACTTATGGTATTCATACATAGTTTCTGATTTGTGTGCATGCACTGTACAATAGCTAGAAAATGTGCTTTCTAAGCAATCTAATCCCAGATATGAGTTTCTGCAAGGGTGACTTCATGCCACTGTGAGAAAGCTCATTTTTAAATTGAGAACATTCCAAATATTGTATTAATTTACGCTCACAGATTCCCTATTGAGGAATTCTTTTATCTCCGTGTTTGTGTTGCCTTAACTAATTCGTAGAAGCATACTCAACGAGAAACCCAATTGATCATATTCCAACCTTGGAATTTATTGAAGGATTTAGTTTTTCTGCTGAATCCAAGCAATAGTTCAGCTTTGCAACATCTTATTGGATTCATGAGAGTTGTTTGAGGTCCAGCTGAAAGTGCTTACACCGTGTTTTTGCTGCTGAGAAGTTAGCATTTGTTCCCACCTTCAGTTTTGTAGGTGAAATGCATTTCTCTGACAGATAGCACTTGTGCCCTTTCCCCCCCCAAAGTAAACTTCACTATGTTGTGGGAAAAGTCAGGGAAGTTTGTTTTTCTTTTTTCAGGGAAAATATTTTTAGTAAACAGCACCATTTTTTCTAAGGTTTCATAAGGTGTATAATGTTTTTTTTTGGTGTTGTTGTTTTTTTGGATCTGTAGACTGGACATAGGACTTGGTGAGGGCCACGGACACATTTGACAAATGTAAACAAACATCAGTGTTAGCATAATTTTGAGGGATCCATTTTATGTATAACTGCTGTATTGCCGTACTCCATTGCTCCCTCACAAGCTTTTCAACACTGTATTGCATTTCTACTGCTAGGATGAATTGTATAGACTAGTCACTGCGGAAGCAGAACTGTAGCTGCAGATAAATGGCATATTATATCACAGCAAGGATAATGCAACACAAACGCTGCCATTCTGTCAAATGCTGCTGGCATTTCACACATGTACATCATCTCCCTTGGTTTGATGCCTCTGTGAATCAGCCATAAAGATATTTGAGACTGAGAGATAACGGTCCTTTTCTAAACAAAGAACACATCTGGAAGTTAAAGATGCAAAGCCATAAGGGTGTACTCACACCTCACTGCCCCATGCTCATGCTGCCCTTAGCAACCTGGTCCAGTTCATCTCAGTATTTCAACTCAACTCTTTCCTGCTCACTCTGTGCATCATTCACACACACTTTTGAAAACAATGTTTAAAGGGCATAATGAGGTTCGTGATTTAATGTAGCTTAATAGCAATATTTTGGGAGTTATGAGAAACTGCCCCCTCACATGCCTTGCAGATTACCTTACATGGTGATTTTTGCATAAATGTTGGAGTTCTTTCTTGGGTGTGGTTTAATGATCGCACTAGGTGGAATCAAGTACTGATTAACATACTGCTTAATATAACTGACACTCTCATTTTACTTGCACATATTGATTTAAGGACTTGACTGTGTTTGACAAAGGTTGTGGTTTAGATTAAATATACCTCTTCATTATCTGAAATCTATGCGTTTAAAAGAAAATTATGGTTACCTAGTGTGGTTAAACACGTGAAATGGTATTTGTAAGTATGTATTATATGTAAATAGTTTAGAGTAAATTCATCTCATAGTTGCCATGTATCTATATCATTGTAGCACCAACAACAAAGGAATTTTGAATGTATGTGTGAACTGCCAGTGTCTTTGTCAAAATGGCATCATTTGACATCCTCTGAATGAGAACTGGCTGGAAAACGACTTATTCGATTTTCATTTAGATGGTAAATCTTAGAAATGGAAACAAGAAAACCAAAAGATATCAAACAACAAAGTCTTCAGACAATACATGTTAGAACATAAGATTGAACCTTGTTACAAACCACAAGTAAGTAGCTTTGAAGTTTAAGATGAGCAGTGGATGGATAGATGCTCAGAAGGGTTCATGGGTGGATGATAAGTGAATGGATACATGAGAATTCCAAAGGATGGATGAGAAAAATTGGCTTGACAGACTGCTGTGTGACGGGCGAGGCATGGATAGACCGATTGCTGGTTAGAAGAGTGAATGGACAGATTTGACGACACTGTAAATGGGTTAGTATTTGCAAGAGAAAGCAAAACTAAAGTGAAGTTGATATGCATTGATATTCTGATTATACAGAAATGCAGTCCTCTTGAATATGCTGTATATTTTGTTCATGCTATGTTTAAAATATATCTTTGCAATGAAAATATTTCTCTTGTACTGCCATTTAAGCATATTATAGAATGTATCAAGTCTGTATATTGTATCTGTCATCTGATGTACATATTGTATTGCTTTGTTGTGATAATATGCATTTACAATGTAAATTTTGTCACAGTTTCATTTCTTATTTCAAATATATTCGATTATTCCTAACTTAGGCTCAACACCTAGATTGTTTTACTTCTGCTAAAAAATGTTTCTACATGTGCAAGAAAAGTATATACAAAGTCTTTTTATAAAAACAGGATAATTTTGCTGCTGACATTTCACAGAGCAATCTCTACTTCAATATCTCTTGTTTTATGCCCCCCACCCCCACCCCCCCCACCCCATATTCATTGAAGAAACCATTTTCACCCAGTAAATTAATGTAATCTATCAAGTAACACACAGCAACTTTGGTAAGCACAAACAGAAGGTTCCAATCTATAAAAGAAGTGGCTTTGTTTCTGAATGGCCTCAAAATACATTGTTTGCATCTGTCTTGGGAATAATAAAGATTGTGTTGAAAAGTCCACAGATTGCATTTACCCCACAATCAAAATGAGTGAACAAGTCATTTTATTTCTTTATTTGATTTCATTTATTAATTTGGTGCCAAATCCCAACGATTGTCATCTCAAGTCACATATAGTTACATAAAGATCTCCCTCATGAGTAAGCAGTTAGAGGCAAAACTCCCACTTAAGAGGCAGAAACTTCCAACAGATCAAGGCTCAGGGAGGACAGCCATCTGCCATGGCCAGGAAGGTTGGGGGGAATGAGAAGAGAGAAAAGAAGAGCACAGAGAGAACGTAAGCACCAGTTCCACTAATGTAACATTTTCCCAAACTAAAGACTATAGCAGGAAGTGCAGGGCTGGTCAATTGTTCCTGCTTTATAACTATAAATGTAGTAAAACATATCTTTTTAGCCCATGACACAAACTAAAATGCTGAGAAAATGTTACTTACAGTATATCATTAACATTAACGTGACTGCAGCAAACTCATCATTCTTTTACAAACCTTTAAGAGGAAATCTTTCCCAGTCATCACTGATGTAATTGCAAGGTATCTATACATCCTTGACATTTTTTTTTTGGGTCAGTTGTCAATGTAGATTCATCAGAGGAGTAAAACACATACATTCTACTTGTACTGTAACAGGAAATTTGCCGTGCCTGTAAAAGTAGTTGGATACAGCCTCTTTGTTATCGGTTGAACCGAAGATTGAACCCTGTAGACTAATAATTCAGTAAACATAAGCCCTGAGACTAAGGAAAAAAAAGGCACAGTGAGAATATAAAGGAGATGTGATTTCCAACACCTCACCATGTTCCCGATTTACCACACAAGACTCGTGTGAAGAAAAGATGGGTGTTCAAACAAGATGCTATTAAAGTCTGTGCCAGCAGGCGGTGAATTCAGGGGCTGTCAGAGAAGAATCCTCTGCTTGTCATCGCAGCTTGTTTTATTTTGATTTAAGACTGTATTAAAATGATTTAAGGCTGTATTGAAATGAAAGGCAATTATAGCAAGTTGGGTTGTTAAAGAGAAAGACAAAGAGATAAAACAGGCAGTATCTTCACTCTTCACACATTAAAGTATGTGATGAAATACAAGCATCATGAAAAGCCCTGGTTTATTTCTATTCTGTTGTCAGTGATCGGTGGCTTCTCAGGTATGGTGGAGGGTTGGCGTTGCATCATTATCATTCAAACTGAGTCTCTGATCCCCCTTCAAGAGGAAGAAAGCAGGCTATTAATGTTAGACTTGAAGCATAATGTATTCTCTCTGTATTTGACTGGTGTGAACTCTTTTTTTTTTTTTTTAAATTTCCTATTCACTACCCCTAGATGAAAACATAATTTAAAGAGATAAGATGAGTGTTTTAAAGTCTTAAATGCTCCAGATTGTCTTTCTGGCCTCAGACATTGACATGGAATTAAGTTAGGTTACCATTTTTATCAGAGTGCTTGCGGGTGTCTTCTAAAAACATGCATTATGCAAGAAACATAAAGAAAGAAACCAACTAAAGTGTGTATATTGCTTATATTTAACATTCAATATACATCTTGAACATAGTCTCAATCAATTCTTCATCAATTAAAACTAATAAATCATTATCTGAATGCTTTCTAATTCCCAGCAATAGTTCATCTGCTTTTTAGTGCAAGTGTCTAATAAGCCATTTAGCAGCTTGCTTAATTTAGGCATGTACACATGGTCGAAAAAAATGGCTGAAACTAAAGAGCAGCATCAGAACAGGGAGAAAAAGCCATGTAAGTGACTTTGAACGTGACATGGTTGTTGGTGCCAAACAGCTGGTGTGACCTACACAACTATCTCTACGGTTCACAGAAAATATTCAATGTTCTTAGAAATCAGAGGTAAATGATAAGGCTGCTTTGAGCTGACAAGAAAGCAACACTACCTCAAGTACTGTAACTGTTACAACCAAGACATGCAGAAGAGGTTCTCTGGCTGCACAACAGAGGAGACAATTAGAAGACCGCACCATGTGACCCTCATGTCAGCTAAAAATTGAAAGAAAGACAAAAAGCAGGCTAAAATCTACATGGGCTTTCCAAAATTGGACAGTAAAGTTTGAAAAGATATTGCCTAGCCTGATGAGTCTTGATTTCTGCTACAACATTTGGATGGTAGACCTTGAATTTGACATAAATAAGATGAAAGCATGGATCCATCCTGCATTGTATCAATGGTTCCACTTGTTGGTGGTGTGATGGTGTATGGCATTATTTTCTTGTTACACAGCAACTGAGAATTTTTGAAATGCTAGATCCCACTTGAGTATTGTTGCTGACCATCCCCATCTATTTATGACTACAGTTTACTAATCTCCTGATGGCCTCTGCAAATGACCTCCACAATAACAAGATCATATTCCAATAGAGCATCTTCGGGATGTGGACGAACATGGACAAAACTTTCTGATGAATGTTTCTAGCACCTTCTTGAATTCACAGACAACTCTGTGGATTCAAACAATTCTGGCAAAAGAGGTTCTCACCCAGTACTAGCAAGGTGCACTTAATAAAGTGAATGTAGAAATCCTAAATAAGAAAACTATCAGGAAAACATTTTTCTGTAAGTTTATGGTCTCGGCCTCCAGCTTCACATCTTCTTCAGTGCACTGACATTCATTTTGTAAATAACTGTCTATTTTGCATGAAGTGGTCTTCTGCTGTTATAGCCCACCCACCTCTAGCTACAACATTTTTCTGTTTTTTGTTCACCACAATCCCAATAAGTAGTTACCTTTCTGTCACCTATACCAGCCTGGAAAACTTTGCTATCAACAATGCCTCCACAGAACTGCCACCCACAGATATTTTTTTTTTCCCACAGGGGAACAGCGGTTTCAGAAACACTGAAAACAACCTGTCTGTCTGAATATGTAGGTGTGTGTTCATAATGAAGTACTTAGGTTGTGGGTGACAGAGCACTAAAGAGAGGGGACTGAGCTTGAACTTTAAAGGTTTGAGGAAGACAAAGCTGCATAGAAGAAGATAAGGTCCTGACAAAGCTTTGTTCTGCGGTGTGAACCTCCTGAGGGCTAAATACAGAAAGACAGAGACCGAATGTGTGTGCATCAGTTAGATGACTGCAGGAGTGGTTCGACAGCTCAGGAATGCGAAAAGCATACTAAGGCTCTCACAAAAGTCAAAGCAGTGGAAGAAAAACAAAGGAATTGCTGGAAGTCACTGTCTTCACTGTCTTCCAGACCAA